CAGTCAAGGTTGCAAGGTTCAAATTTGAGTAATCCTTTGAAAATACCTTGGCACCTCGCTTGAGCGCTTTGTGTTTGACCGGTGAACCAATGTATGGAAAATGATGAATGGAAGCTTGCATCCAAAATCATCGAGTCTTCTGGACATCGAAACTCTAGCTTTACTGAAAGCAACGCATTTAACGTATTTTAACGTATTTTAACGTATTCAACGTATTTTATCTAAAAGACGTTAAATTAGAGTGGTTCAATTATGGGAATTGTGTTTTTTCAAGCAATTTTTTCTCGTCAAGTATTTAACGTCTTTTATCTTGAAGGCTCCTAAAACAAATGAAATTTCAGCCCCTGGGGTAGGCGTACAGTCAGACACTGTTTACAATTTGATATATCCATGCATTTAGACAAATTGTTCACTGTAGCCAATCAGAACGCATTGGTACTAAATTCATTATGCATCATCGAATTGTACGCGGTTTTGGGCTATCACCAACTGGTATGAAGATAAGACGAACTTACCCATCAATATATTATAGGAACTGCTATTGATGTTTTTATTGTGACGTTTCCCTATCAATRTCTTTTTTTCTTTTCTCATTAAAAAAAAAGAGTTTCGGCCAAGTTTTTCATATTATAGATAGAAAGTGTAAAAATTTCGGAAGAGATCGTTCAYCATAATTCAGAGAATGTGAAAGAATTTCGGTGAGCCTTACAAATTTTCATATTATAGATAGAAAGTATGAAAATGTCGTGAAGATCGTTCACCATATTTCAGAGAATGTAAAAGAATTTTGAGCCTTACAACTTTTGCAAAGAAATGCCTTGTGCTCCGGGGCAAATTTTGCCTGTCAACACTCTTTTCTTTTCAAACGTTTCATGTTTAAAAAAATAAATCGTCGATAGAATCATTATTAAAAGTGATGACCTGATACAGCTCTTCATAAAAATGCCCCAAAGGATATGTGTACTACCWGAAGACTCGAGATCACAACGGGTTATTTACGTCATTTACGTATGTGTCGGTGAAGGGCGTATGGAATGTCAGCGGTAATCCGGTCATGTCTGCCCTGGGGGTAAAAGATACTATAGATTGSGTGCGTTTTATGCCTGAAACAGTTAGCCACAAAGCTGAGTCTTTGCTATATTACGAATGAAGTCTTACTCTGCTATCTGATTAATGAATTTTTAATTTGTATTTGATTCGGAGTTTCAGTAATTGAACGTAAATAAGTAGACCATGGGAATATTTTAGTTCTAACCTTTAAGCTACCGTCTCACCAAACYGCTGATAAAATCTTTTCACCAAATGCTATCTCACTGTTGTGAATACTTTTAAATCTAAAAGTAGACTTGTCGACGGCTTGCTWAGTCGAGAGATCAAAAAAGGCCGACTGAGAACCAGCACCTCATTAGTAAATCAAGGGTTTTTTTTAGTTATCAACGAAGGGAGGTTTTTATTTAGATAAAATAATTTTCAAACACTTCTTTTATTGAACAGCATTCTGTATGGCTGTTGAAATCATTTTAAAATACTCCTTCCCCTCCCTACCCTCCCTGGACATCACAGGCTCATCACAAATAACATTTCATGGAGCTGTTTTTCAGCATGGAYAAAATTAATCGTTTTTCGGCCGGGTCATAGCGGAAGAACTAATTTCTCGGGACCACGAACGCGAGACGTCATGCGGAAAGTATACTATAAACATCACACTTGTTCCCGTATATGATACTTTAATCACATCACGCTCACCGCAATGGCGATGAAATGATCTATCATATTAGAAAACAATTTGTGGTCAGCTGTAATTYATTAACCAACGATATAAAAGGTTTCACTCAGCTTTCGATCTTTATCTTAATGACAGTGTGATTCCTATGAGATCGTAACAGCAGCGGTTTCGCTGTTCTACGCCAAGCAGAAGACAACTCRCAAATTTCTTAGGTAAGCTTTTATTTGACTTTTAAATATTAACATAATTTGTACAAACGGAAAGAAAGTTCTTGGAAAAAATAGCTTTGTGAGAATATTAATCAAGCTGGGTAATCTAAAAAAGGATGATTATACTAAAATGAGACGTTTTTTTTCTATTGTACACATTGAATTTCGCCGGTTTTGTTAAGACTGATCATTGGAAAAAATCTAATACGTGCTACAAATGATGGAAATATGTTGGAAGTCGCCACTTCCAACACATTTTCATGATATTCTCATATTTTCCGCCGACTATACATCCAAATCATGGAATTGTCCAATAGGCTGCATGCRGTATTCCAAATTATTTCCAACATATTTYCATGATATTSTCAGCAGTATTTWGACTATTTCYATTTCCTGGAAGGGTYCGAAAGGCTAAAGGAATGACTTACGAGTCCTTCAACATATTTCCAACAAATATCCAAAATCTCAAATTGAGTCTGGTCTAATATAGGAAAGTAAAAATGCTCTAAAATATTTTTAGCTTTGTAAGGACATGGTTCAATGGTTACTTATAAACTGTAGATCATTAAGCAAGATTTTCATGTGATATTCGTATTSTAACTATAAAAGACCCTTGCGCTAATGCTTTCACTTAGTATTAGATTGTTATTGAATTTGAAGGGTAGAAGCTGGCTTTGAAGCATCTCTTATTTATATATAATCATGAGCTTATTTTACAGAGCAGATTTGGGTTTAAGATCTTCATAAGTTGCTTCATAGATTATTTGAGCCACTAATTGTGATATCCTAGATTTATCAACCAGATTAGCTTTTGTAGTCTTCGCCGGGTAACAGCAACACATAATCCAATAACACACAGGAAAACATTCATCAGTTTGATTAAATATATAATTAGTTTAGAGAACTGGACCAAGCGTTTTTAATTATTGATGTCTAGTATATAAAACGTTGATATGATATTTTTTTWAATTCAGTGGCGGATCCAGGGGGGGTCGAAGGGGTCCACGGAACTCCCCTTGAAGGTTTGATCTTTTAGGTAATAGAAATATGTCTTATATAAATTTTAATTAAAAAAATGTTACTAGTTTTGCGTTGGGTCGTGTTATTATAGCTTGGTCCGTTACTAGATAGTAAATTAGGTGATTAGAGCCAATTTTTTTTGTCAAACATCAACTAAACAAAAGAGAATTATACACAGTTTAAGAAACGGAACCCCCCTTTGAAAAATCCTGGATCCGCCACTGTAATTCGGATAAAAAGGGTCGGTCGACACCTTGTTTAATTTTAAACATTGTACTYATGTAACGGATGCTCCATTTTGACCTTTAGTATTGTCCAAGTTGTAAGCTCCTAAGTTTAATGCAAGTATTCGAAAAAAGGGGTAKGATACTACTCTTTTCTATGTATTTGTCTAGTTTTTTTTTTGAATTAACGTCAATTTTGTAGTAGTCGTGGGAGAAACAAAATGGATAGGTTGGAAAAGAGCTGTCCATTTTGATTCATAATCACGTTCAGTAAACACACTCCCACTTGAGACAACTCTACATATGTCACGATTATCTTCAAGTCATCTCCTAGCAGCAATTGCGGTGAAAWAATGCATGCGGTGACCATGTAGAAAATACACTAGATAATGAAAAAACGTGACTGTTCCAGAAAGAGTACATCACAGAAAAGAAAACCCTTCATTTGGCTTCTGGTTTAGCCACATAAGAGATTAATCGTTTTATAATGAATTCCAAAAACGTGACTGTAGGAGTTACTCAATGAATCAAATGTTTAGTAAATCTCAGAGAAATGAGCTGAAATCCTTCATTTGGCTTTAAGGTTACTGGAGACCTTCAGGGGTACGTTTCGTTTAGGACTCTCTCTTCGCAACACTTAAAAAAAAACCCATAAAACTATACATCATTTTAAAGGTCATATACTAATGATTCAGAAAATAATATTATTTGAAAGCGATTTTTTGATTTGAAACAATACCGGAGCCTTAAACACAAATYGGSCACGTTCAGTAGAGGTGAATTATAGACACTAATTTAGCGCGTATAGCCAAACRAATTTCACTATGTGAATAAGCAAAAGATAAACAACAAAAGGGTGTGAGCGATTTTTGATATTTTGCTTCTTTAAAAATTATTGAATTTAAAAGTTTGGACGTCGAAAAAGACGAAATGCTCAATAATTCCAAATRCTACCATAGTTCCAAAGTAAGATTTGATAGATAATTGAAAAGAAGTGACTGTTTCAAAAAGCCAGAACCACGCGATAACAAAAAAGCATTCAACTCAGGATAGCAAAAAAAGTGGTGCGAGGGKTCTGTGTGCTTAAGCCGTTCATTTGTCATTAGTTTTTTTGGCTGGTCAACGCAAAGGTCCGCAAAAATGACATGTTTCCAAGTCATTCAGTTTCCGGACTTTTATTTCAACCTTCATTTTTGCAAGATAGAGTATTCCTTAAATTGGTACAAGGGAAATAGGATCGTACAGTGCGTCTCATTGTCATACCCAGAACCTTTTTATTTAATCTAATCTAATCTACTAGCTTTAGCTGTTGTATTTCTGTTTTAGATACATCTATAGTGAGATTTTAGATGTACGATGATGTATATAGATATTTATTTGTCAAACATAGGGAAAACAGCCTGCAGGCTTTACTCTGAGCTAGTCAATCTACTGAAGACAAGTTTTTCCGCTTAGTTGATAGCAAAGTTTGTCTGTGTCTCCGTGCCCAAACAAGTCGTTCCCATGGCATAACAAGGCTAGATTGAAACCTATCCGGTGACATTAGTTTGTCACAAACTAATCTGTCAGTGCACCACAATACTGTAAAACAATTATCAAAGTCGTTTTGGGATCAGCCCGGCCTTGATGGACATTTTGATTAAGGAATTAATCTGATGATAGATGTTCGGATATTTATCCGGCAGTTCATGAGATAGCACTAATTTTCTTTGACACCAATCATTTCATAACAATCACATCCTTCTAGTGATTCACGTCTAAATTATCTTAATTAAATCGTCCTTTTTCTCCACCTCCTGCTTAGTACACGCAGCAACCGTTGTTGTGACGTATGACCTACGTARTTCCTTTTCCCCGCCTTTGATCTTTGATCGCTCGTCGGATGAAAACTAGTCTCGCAACAGCTGTAGTAGAAAAGAAAAATTATATACGGTCAGACCAAACGTAATGGGTTTCTCTACTYCAAACATCCTGAGATCAAATTTGTTTGAGTTAAATTTTCTTCATAAACGTTGCTAGGTAAGAAAATGGATAGCGTTCAAGGGGGTTTGACGTATAGCGCTGAGATATGGTGAGTTAGATGCATATGACAAAAAGGTAATTAATAATATTTCACTGAGGGCGTGACAGAGTTACCTAGTCTYCCTCGCATCCGTTTGGGGAGGGAGCGTTGCGTGACGACCGACACTAAAAACGGATGCGAGGGAGACTAAGAGTTACCCGACTCGACCAAAACATATTGGAAAAACTAAATTCGCTAGATGATGTGCACGATGGGTGTGGCATAATTCGAACAACTTTTTCAACAGAAAGGAATTAAATACTGTATTGCCMAAGGAAGATCATGGACGTGACATCGCCAACTAGTAAATTTTTTTAATAACATAGTTTTAATAGACTAGATTGAGACTGTACCATGCTGGGCGACTGTATTGAAACTGGGGTGTACTGTATGGTTGATAAAGCAAGATTACGTCAAACGTACAATAAGCTTATTTCAATATAAATGCTTGATAATATAATCTACAAGCCTGTTCTTGAGATTATATTGAATCCTTCCGAGGGATGCTTAAGAATCGCCACAAGATATGGACTTAACTAACTAAACCTGTCTGCTTTGTTAAGCCATCAAACCGATCCGATCCACCTTACATATTGCTTTTCATCGGTAAAAAAGTGCCGTACATTGGCTTTAATTTTTTGTCATGTTTAAACGTTTAGTGGCTTTGCGGTTTTCAGCCGCAATACAATATATGGTACTAAATATCCGTTGCCGGATCTAGTAGGGGATATGTAGTCTCCTTCGTCTCCTTCACAGCCGCCATCAGTCTGAAACTAATGTCGGTTGCCGAGGAAAATAGTGGTTCTAAGCATTATTGTAGRWTGAGAAATGAATTGAGAGATCGTTAGCAGATCAACACGCATGCGTGTCACTGTTTGGCGAAGCCATCGGAAGCTCCACGGACAAACTTACAATTTTCCCTCCATTCAATGCACCATTACAATGCACCCTTCTTTGGTGAAAAAGGAAGCGTTGTTTTGCGGTAGTTTTGGTGGGTCTTTTTAGAGCTTCCAGGGAGTTTTGAAGTTTTCGGGAAATCCGTAGCAAGTTTTAACGGATRCTGATAAGCATCTATTACTGGACGCGAGGGATGGGTTGTGAGATCGTAGATAAATTCGTGAGTGAGACATATACAAATGGGCAAAATCGATTTGAACATTCTCAGTATAAATCGATTCTACAYGGGGTAAGCTGTGGAATGACCCGAAAAAAGTCCATAGTTTGAGTGTGGCTCCTTTAAATTATTAAGGTTTTTCTAAACCACATGCTAATGACTGTGACGTATGGATGTGAAAACTGACATGAAATAATTTCTACRAGAGCAATGAGGAAAACAATATAACGTATTTCAGATTCAATTTCTCTGTGCCAGTAATGTTTCTTATATAATCACTTTTCTTACGTCACAGTCATTAGCATATGACATGAAAAACCTTTATATCTTCCAGAAGCCGCACTCAAACTATGACATTTTTGGTGTCGTTCAGCAGCATTCCCCATGTTCAATCAATACTGAGAATACTGTAAGAAGGGCGATAGRCACTTTAACAGATTTTCATTGGTACAGTAAGCATCACTACTGGATGCTAGGGATGGGTTATGAAATCGTAAAATATGAAAATGAAAAAGACAAGTTAAGGCAATTTTTACCAATTAACCAATTAACCAATAAACATCGGGACTTTATCTTTTCAGAAAGATAGAAAGACAGACCAGTTCCCGTAACAAGATAAGGCACTTAAAATCAAGCACCTTTTATGATTCCTTATAGAGCTTTCTTTCAAGTGGAAGAGTGAAAATTCTATTCTTTGTTTTTGATGTGTCAGTTTTTATTCCTCGTCTTAGATCAGATATGTTCACGGCTTTTCTTTTACTTCTTATTTTAGCAAATGTCAATTGATCTGGGCCCTGTTCAAGTTGTCTTATTAATTCTTTAGTTATTACTGATGCTTTTATATGTACAAACTGTTAGATGCTCCAACGTTTCCGGAACCTCGGCACTTACTCTATAAGTAAGAGAGGCTTTTAAGACAGCTTTGTTCAATCCATCCGTTATATGCTTTCAGAGCTCATTAGAAAACTGAATGATGCTTTAAAGACATCTTTGTTCAATCCATCCGTTGTGTGCTTTCAGGGCTCATTAGAAGACTGTCAAMGGGAATGTTTTTAGGCAGTGGAAGGTGTTATTCTGTAGACAGCCTATGGACTCAAACAAACAATTAGCACGAATATGAATGTCACCTATTGACATTTTTCAGAACACAGATGTGAAATGCTTTTCAAAACCTTTCTTTTTCAGCAGCCGGACATTCAAGCCTGAGCACCGGTCTCGARAAGAGCTGCATRAATGCCGCTCGAGATGAATTCAACCGCAAACGCCTCAAGAACGACGATTTCCGATCATGATAAAGTTGTCTGGTACTGGTCCGTGAGAGCATTCATAGCARTTCTTACCGTCCTGGGAAATACATTTGTAATGATCCTGATCGCAAGAACCCATAGACTGAGAGTAATTCCAAATGCGTTCATCTTTGCTCTGGCGTTGACGGACACGCTAGTCGGCGCGGTGATTACCCCGGCTGATTTCGCCTGCACATTTTGGCATCCACATTCTTGTGACATCCCAAAACTTCGGTTCACCTTCGATATCCTCATCAACTTGTCCGTTACAAGTMTTTGTGCTTTGACTTTTGATCGGTATATGGCGGTTGTGAAGCCACTGAAGTATCAGWCCTTTATGACAAAAACTAGGGTTGCCCAAATCCTCTCGATTTCWTGGATTTTTGGTGTAACATTACCCATCGCTGGATACACTTGCTTCTTGGAGAAGAACAGACTAGGAGTCGACATTTCCAGGATATTGAATACGATTTTTCTTCAAATTCTGCCTCCAGTACTCTTGGCAATAGCTTATATCGTGATGGTCTGCATAGCGAAGAAGCATGACAAGTTAGAGCGGATACAGCAAAAACAGCTTAATTATAACTATGGCAACGTTACGCTACGAGAGAGCAAAGAAAGAGCTTCTGTAAAGATGATAGGAGCTGTCATTGTGGCTTTTATTCTTTGCTACATGCTAGCGATCTTTCGGTCATTGTATTTCTATGTCATGAACAGACAGATTCCTGTTATAGTAACACAATTGTCAAGGATTTTGTTACTCACTAGCTCATCTGTCAACTTTGTAGTTTATGCGTTTCTAAAGAAAGATTTCAGGCAAGAACTTAGGCRGATACTCAAGAAATGCAAACAGAACCTGGCAGAGATGATATAGGATGGAAATCAAGAGAATCCTACCYATATAGCCTTGTAACCATCATGTGCACAGTTTGATGCTATTTTTAGCTTGGAGATATTTGAGCGAAGAACCTGATTGGTTGATTTCTTGAGGGTAGGCGGCTTCTAGTCTTRCAGTAAAYAAAARCCTGTGYTTTTGTCGCTTTTCGTGTCCMAAAACGAGGCATTAAAGGAAGCATGATTAWCGCGCGRGCATGKTAAYGWGYTAAAAATAGCATCAATGATTCTAAAAATAGCATCAAAGTGTGCACWTGATGGGGCACGGGGATTCTTTCTCTTAGTTCATTTTCTCTTGATGGAAATATAATCCTATTCCTTAGGCTAATGTTTTCTCATTCAAAACCACCTTCTTTAGCACTTACATTCATTCTGACATTACAAGAGTTATTGCTACAAGAAAGAAATAATACTAAAGGAAATACTACCTTTTAACCCGAGAACAAAAAAGTGCACATCGCCGCGGAAAACTGTATTTATCGCCTTATAATTCTATTTAATACGCACGTTCACTCACCCTTTGCATTCGTAACAAGGGCAATAATTATAGCCGTATATAAATAGTTTACATAAACATCAWTTTTATATGACTTGTTAATTATATTTATGCATTGATTGGGATATTGATAAATTTYGTAAAAAGCCGGTCGTAGATAGTCTGGAACCAAACAGTGAGTTCATGCTTTATTTAATTAATATAAGCATCATTAATATGTGACTTGTACAATATATTTATGTGATTAATTGAGACATTGAGCTTCATGAAAGGACCATAGACATATCAGTCTGAAAGTATATTGTTTTCTTTTTAAATTTCGTACCATAAATTTGAGCTGCCGAGGTTATCACACAAAACCACTTTTAAGTGATCCAACGAACCCCAACCCCACCACACACAACCAACAGCAGCAACACGGATAACACCATCCAACCCTATCACAGGCAACCAATACCGTAGAAGCAACACGGATGCCACCATCCAACCCTATCACAGGCAACCAATAGAAGCAACACGGATAACACCATCCAACCCTATCACACACAACCAACAGCAGCAACATTGATGCCACCATCCAACCCTATCACAGGCAACCAATAGAAGCAACACGGATAACACCATCCAACCCTATCACAGGCAACCAATAGAAGCAACACGGATACCACCATCCAACCCTATCACAGGCAACCAATAGAAGCAACACGGATACCACCATCCAACCCTATCACACGCAAGCAATAGAAGCAACACGGATACCACCATCCAACCCTATCACACACAACCAATAGAAGCAACACGGATACCACCATCCAACCCTATCACACGCAAGCAATAGAAGCAACACGGATACCACCATCCAACCCTATCACAGGCAACCAATAGAAGCAACATTGATGCCACCATCCAACCCTACCACACACAACCAATAGCAGCAACACGGATAACACCATTCAACCCTATCACACACAACTAACAGCAGCAACACCAATGCAACCACCCGCCCCTACCACACACAACCAATAGAAACAACATTGATACCACCATCGAACCCTATACTAGCACACACAACCAACAGCAGCAACACGGATTACACCATCCAACCCTATCACAGGCAACCAATAGAAGCAACATTGATACCACCATCCAACCCTATCACAGGCAACCAATACCGTAGAAGCAACACGGATAACACCATCTAACCCTATCACTCACAACCAATAGAAGCAAAACGAATACCACCATCCAACCCTATCACAGGCAACCAATAGAAGCAACATTGATGCCACCATCCAACCCTACCACACACAACCAATAGAAGCAACACGAATACCACCATCCAACCCTATCACAGGCAACCAATAGAAGCAACATTGATGCCACCATCCAACCCTACCACACACAGCCAATAGAAGCAACACGAATACCACCATCCAACCCTACCACACACAACCAATAGAAGCAACATTGATACCACCATCCAACCCTATCACACACAACCAATAGAAGCAACATTGATGCCACCATCCAACCCTACCACAATCAACCAATAGAAGCAATACGAATACCACCATCCAACCCTATCACASRCAACCAATAGAAGCAACATTGACGCCACCATCCAACCCTACCACACACAGCCAATAGAAGCAATACGAATACCACCATCCAACCCTATCACGCGCAACCYATAAACAACATTGATGCCATCATCCAACCCTACCAGACACAACCAATATATAGAAGCAAAACGGATATCACCATTCAACCCTCAGATTACGCGCAACCAATAACAAGAACACGGATGCCACCATCCAACCCTACCAGACACAACCAATATAGAGGTAACACGAATTCCACCATTAAACCCTACCACACACGGGCAACAGCAGCAACACRGATACCACCATCCAGCCTTTTCACAAACAAACACGAGTACCCACCATCCAAATACCAWACACAACCTATAGAAGCAACACAAATTCAACCACCCACCCCTACCACACACAATAACAGCAACATTGATGCCACCATCAGCCCTACAACGCACAACCAATAGAAGCAACATGGATACGATACCTCCTTCAAACCCTACCACACACAACCAATATTTTCCATATCTTCACTGGTAAGGATATCAATGACGTCACTTGCGATGTTTCGGGACCTGTTTTGATTAACTTGCGTAGTTTTTATTTGTTGATTTGTCTATATAAAAAAAGAAAACTACTCGTTGKCTTGAAGATATGAAGTTTATCTTCTCGTGTTGGAAAATATTTTACCACTCGAAGATAAGTAACATATCTTCGCGCCACCGTGTAATATCCTCTATTTATWTCAGCGTTTTTGAAGGGCACTTGAATTCGCTTATGTCCGGATTCACTGTAACTTCCTACACAGGCAACCCAATCGCTTTTTTTTGTATCACTGGTCAGCGGATGACWTGACTGAAGCCAGCGCATGCGTATCGCTACCCATAATCCCCTGCAGTTGTATCTTCAAGGTTTACGACATTTTGTTTAACGTCGTCATGTTCCTTTGACACASAAAAAAACATTTTATTGAAGAAAATAGAGCTTTAAAGGACTTCAACAGTTACATAGAAGACTAAAGAATCGCCAAATATATAATTTTGCATAAAATGGCTCATATGACGGGCGCCAATATGACGCCATTGGGGAGACTTCACCCCGTTCTAGCGAGTAAGCAAAACCCGAATCCAGAGACTGACCAACCGAGAATCAAACGTGCTGTTGAAAATCGCTTTGGTATGTATAAACTATGTYTAATACTCTTCATTAGGATAATACTAATATATTATAACAAAGCTATCACTCCGTAATGAGTTAAGCTAGAAGATGTTCCTGTGATCTGTCATTTTCGTGATGTAAAGACGTGATATCTGTATACTATTTTAAAACCACGAGTTACAAGATTACAAGAAAAAAAAAAAATGTGTAGGACGGATTGGATCATCTTATCTGTATTTATCTTATTTAGTCATGATCATATCATTTCAGAAATTATTATTGTAATATAACGTAAACATTCAGCTGTGTAAATCGATCCTGTCTAAGCAAAATATATTTCAGAAGTTCCTATGGTGTCATAAGAACTTAAGCTTACTATCTGCTCAGTATGAGTTCCATCGGTATATGAACTATTAAATAAATAATTTGACCTTCGCATTTTACTGTAATGTTTCCATTTCTGATAAAAATTTAATATATAGTTATTCATTATTACAGTATACGGCCGTTTGTTTAAAGGAAAAGTTTATCATTCGATTATTGATGGTAATGAGATAAAGAGTAAATAGTAATACAGGTCTTGGAGTTTGTTGTGAAATGTGATTGTCTGGGTGAGTGTAGTCTTGATAATAAGAAAAGTACAAGATCGAATTCTTAATGTGTTTCATAGAGAGTAACCTCTACTTTGGTTTTCCTTATAACCAATGATGGTTACCATATTTCATCTGTTAAGTTCCCTGGGGCTTCTTCATTTTCAGTGCTTTTAGACTGGGGGATTATGAAAGGCTTAGGGCTTAACGCATTTCCCTGATCTTTGGGAAATTATTATTTTTATTCATTATTCTTTTATTCATAATTTTTTTATTCATAACTGTACGTGGCTGCGTGATGTGGTCCGTATATGATTAACCCATTGTACCCTTGCCAACCATAGAGTCTCCAGTAGCTCAGTGGTTAGAGCATCTGACTAGTATCCGGAGGGTCATTGGCTCGATTCCCGTCTGGGGCTCAGATTTTTCTGAGTCAGACGTTATTCCAATCTTCTTTCATATGTTATTCTATCCTATTCCTTTAATGCAATTCATAATCTTGACAGATAAAATSACTGTCAAAGGCCCTCCAAAAGAAAGGGACCCACGCAAACATTATGTTCAAAGATAGGGCTAGAGATGGACCATTGGATTATTTAAGGGGAGGTTGCAGAAATTTATGCTGCACAATATTTWTTTTTTTTTTGTAACAAGCTATTTTTTGCATGTTTGCTCGATATTTGTTACTGAAAGGAGTAGTTGCACTATATTTGTTTTGGAGGTGAAGTGCTTGCTCTATATTCTTTGTGGCTTATTAAAGGCTAGAGACTCAATAGAGGAAATAGGGTWGTAGACAAATATAGGTTTTTGTAGATGTTGCAGTTTTTTTTATTGTTTTTCTTTGTATCTATTTGAGTATTAAACGAAAACAATTGATCTGTATTTCATGGAAATCACTTGTGATTCATGTTTCCTCAGCACAATTACAAGAGCACTAATAAGTAGTGCATACAAAACCCGTTTGTCAAGTTAAACTTCCCACTCCCCATTTGTACTCATTATTCTCCCATCCCTATACTCCAGTTTTGAGTTCCTGTTGCTCAAGGTTAGCCTCGATTTTGTGCAGAACATTCCTGTGTTCCAGCAGAGGTCTGTGGAATTTCAAAGTGTTTGTAACATTYAAGTTGTGCATTACTTACTTTACCGTTGGTATTTGTGGATATTCTGAYGCTGAAATAAGGCCAACCCTGAGTAAATGAGTCGGTAATCAAGAAACACAGTGGTAATTTTGAAATCAAAAGAGACTGTTTTTCTTGAAATATTGCAATCAATTAAAGATTTTTTCATGTATTTTACAGATGCAGGTGGTACAGAGAAGAAAAAGAAGAAAAGAAGCCGATGGGGCAAAGAAGACACTAAAATGATYATCCCAGGAATGCCGACAACATTACCACCTAACTTGAATCCAGATCAACAAAAGGCTTATGTTTGTAAGTTTGTAGAAGTTATTTAATGGCATGTATAAACTTGACACCTGGGGAAGGCAAACAGTTTATTGGAATRTTTCTATTGGTGTGAATGATATTTCTAGATTATGGTTGTTAAAWWAAATCACTTTTATTTAAGTGTCTAGTCGTTCTAGTGCTTTCRCACTAATTGKKGACACTTYTCGCTCACRCGCACTACCACTACATTTAATRTTCTATGCACACAACRCCCAACTCACATGTTGATTTTTACGGAGGGAGGAAACCGGAGAACYYGGAGAAAACCCTCGTAGCATAGGAGAGAACAACACATCAAACAAACTCAATTCACATGTGGCGACTGCAGGRYTCGAACCAGCAACCCGACCCCTTGGACTYACAGSGGTGAAAGACGACGCATTAGCCGCAAACGCCACCCATGCCAGTGACCCAAAGATAAAAGATTTGACTCTCATAATACACACACTATAGCGCATTCGTTGACAGAATTTGTCTGACCCTAGCAGAATTCTAGGACAGTTTGTACCAATCACATTTTTGTCTTATTAATCACTTTCACACCAGATCAAGGATTGTCTGTCCCTCAAGGAGTCTAAGGAAATGGATATAATATTTTGGTCATTCTTGAGAAAAGTTTTTAATTTTGAGCATACAAATTATATATGAACTTACTTCATAGTTGCAAAGGGAAAATTAAATATGTTAGAGTTAATAAAAAGAAATAATCAGCACAATGGATATTGTTAGTGGTAGAATATTAATGAAATGGAGAACAGATCAATACTTAGGCACTTTCAACCTAATTTCAGCAAAAGAATAGTTAACTTATGACAACAGCAACCACCAAGTGTCAGGTTTATAAGTGCCAAGGGAAACTGCATACACTCAAATCTATGACCACAAATTCTATGTATCCTTGTATAGAATAGGGGGTGTACTGACAAATAACCTACAATGGARAAGTAATGTAAAATAAATTCTTAACTACAGTAGAGTGACTCTTTGTCAACCTTTATCAGAGTAAAATAACTACATCATTAAAAAACTTAAAATCAATCCCCTTTTTTTATTCTAAAAACTAATTTCCATTCAAATTTATCTTATTATTTTTACTTGCTTTAGATCATTATTTTTAGGATTTGCAGTTTATTTTGGTGTTTTTTTCCTATCAAATAGTTATTGCTTCATTGCCAAATTTTCTGTTGCTCAGACTTAACCTTGATTTTGTGTAAAATAGTCATAACTTCCAGTGAATGGTCATGGAGTTTTAATACAGTAAAGTGTTCCTATTTTGAGGTTATCAACTTTTTTATATGTYCTTGGTATTTATAGATATTTTGACACAGAAATGAATCTAACCATCAGAATGTTGGTCTGTTTAATCAAGGATCAAATTGATATTTTGTGAACTAGTAAAATGGTCTAATGAATTAGTTAAATCCAACTAGTGGTCAATCGTCAATGCTGCATTCTTTATTGGATGACCTACTACAGACTAGGCTATAAGTTATCCTACAGTACCTGAGTGCAAAGTGCTGGCTTTGATAACCAGAATATATTTAACTTCAATTTGAAACTTGTTTTAATTTCTTTATRTTGGACAAAGTAGTTGGATTTGACATAAACAATATTATTTATAGTCCTCTCACCCTCATGGCCTATGAGTCAGTAGCCCATTCAGCCTTTGGTCTCATGGGCTATTGGCTGAAGACTAATTGCTTAGTACATGTGCCTATAAGGTACAAGAATACATGAGATGTGGTCGTATATTTGGGTGTGGGTCTCAGGAGTGGTCAGTCAGTACTAACACTTGTTAACAGACACAGGTACCGTTAACTTGTCAGTACTGCTTTCTTCTCACTATTTAGGATCATTGATGGTATAACAGTATCACTCAATTTGATTGGTTCACAACAGGTGTGTACTGTACAATGTTCTTAACCAATCTGGATCGTTTTTTAAAATGAAACAGTGTGATCTTTTTTTTCAGAATTTTATCCACGTACAATGTACAGTACATTATTTAACCATATTTTATTGCAGAGTATGCCTTTCCCTAAATTTGAGATCTGGATTGTTTAAAAAATATAAAACAGTGTGACATCTTTTTTCAGAATTTTATCCATGGTACATTGACAGTACATTCTTTAACAGTTTTTTATTGCAGATTATTTTTTCATTTAACTTCAAATTCTGATTAGGAGGCAGGATTTGAATCCTGACTTTAATCGCTAATAACTTTTTTGCAGAATCTATTTTGAAACTTAAATTTAACTTCTGATTTACAAAACCATCCTCTTACTATATATATTTATATTTAATGTTAATCTATTGTACATTACATTTGGTTATATGTGCTATAATCAGTTAGGTTTAAAGCTATTTTTYTGGATAATGATTTGTTGGATTTTGAGGTTAAAATTAAGCTGGCCAAACAGGGCTTAAAAAATGGGAAGTGGAACTGGGACTTGTCCATTGAAATCATTTTGACCAGYAACAGCTATTGACTATAATCATGACTGCAGACTGATCAACTGTTATTTTAAAGCCCTGGCTAAAATAATTWAATATATTTGCACACATTAATTCCTCTTGTTCTAATTTGACATCAAATTTAGTATTGTTATGTTATAGTACATATTATTTTAACTGCGGGGAGTGGGGATAAACAACAACTTTATTTGCACATTTATAAAGTATAAAATAATACAGCTTGTCAATGAAGACAAAAAAAAAAATTAAAAAAGATCAAGTAAAAAGTAAACTGAAATGATAAATTTGATATAGCTCTATGTCAGGTTAATTAGGAGATATGAGACTGAGTGCAAGATACAACTGCTATGGGAWTGATCTTATATAACAGTTTAGAACAAAATTTTGGGCACCTAAATTCAACCTTTGCAAAAGAGAAGAACTAAGGCTTATCTTTATGAGTAACTCAAATATAAAGAAAAATATCCGAAATTGTTTAATTTGTTTAGGCCTCATCTGGAATCCATTGTGTTTTTTGTTGATGTTAAAACTATATGTATTTCAGATCAACTGAGGATTGAAGAAATCAGCCGAATGTTACGAACTGGAGATCTTGGTATTCCAGAAAATCCGGAAGACAGGTAAGCAGATTGTCGTAAAACATTGACCTTTTCAATTTGAAACAAAAATTGTGACACCGATTGCCTCCAACTACTTGACCTTTAACACCTTTAAAAATCTAAGGTTATTTTTTGTCATGATATGGGATTGATTTTTTCAAGATTGCATGCGCATCCAAATTTAAGGAACTTGACAGGCTACAATACAAGAACAGGAGCTTTATAATGAGAATTAACATACATTTCTATGAGATGTTTCAATAAAAAATTATCAAATTGATTATATTCTCATCTTTGAATATAAAACTGGCTTCTCAATTTTAGTGAATTTGCATTTTTCAGTTTTGTGGCCCGTCAAGTTAGGTGCGCATGCAACCTTGAGAAAACAGTCTATTGCATTGTGGCTGAAATCACTGTAAAACTTTTTAACTTATATAATAAATCTTGTCATGATAAAGGATTGAACTGTTGCAGGTCTCCATAACCAAAGGCCAATATTTTAAAAGTTCGCTATGTATGCTCCACACTCACTACCACAATGCCATTTGTCATCACTAAGGATAAAAAATGAATCATTCATCATGTATACAAATGAGCAAAGGTAGACTGGTAAAAAACTTTGGGATATAAAATTTAACTATTCCATTCCTCATTCAGGTCTCCATCACCAGAGCCAATCTACAACACAGAGGGAAAGCGATTGAACACTAGAGATTTCCGAGTACGCAAGAGACTTGAAGAAGAGAGGCATAGACATATACAAGAAGCAATGAAGCTCAACCCTGACTTCAAACCACCATCAGATTACAAGTGAGTAAACTTTTTATACTGGCAACCCTCAAATAGAAAGAAGCTCTTTGCCACTATTTTTTTTACCAGTACAAGTAATTGTACATGTAGTTTCCATAACATGTCTGGAAACTACCTTGAAKTTTTTTAAAGTATATGCAAATACTAACAGTATGAGAAAATAGTCTGTTTGTAACATCAAACTTGCATCACTTGTCTATCTTCAGTTGTTAACTCTTGTCAAGAGATCACTCCTTTAGTAGGAAAGAGCTGGGGGACTTTCGTAGAAAAATCATTAGCTCTCCCTCTCTTTGAATTAATGAATATCTTGTCTCTACCCATGCTTCACAGAGTTTTTCATTGACAGCAATTTGGATTGAATGAAAATTATGCCGATGAAAATAGAGCATTTCCACATGACATCACAGCCRCCATATTGGTGTGCCWTTGGCAATTAGTTTAGTTTCATTTGTATATATATTAAGTACACCGATATGGAGTCCCACCATCTCTAATGTCAGTTAACTCTCTAGGAAATGAGTGAAAATGCTCTATCACAATACAGTACTAATAGGTTACTCCATGGACATATAACTTGTGTTTACAGACCACCGTTAATCAAGATTCAAGATAAGGTTATGATTCCCCAGGATGAAAATCCAGAAGTTAACTTTATTGGTCTACTTATTGGGCCAAGGTAAGAAGYTTCTAAGAGTTTCTGACTATTCTAAACTATTGAAGACATGTACAAACATTGCACATTTTAAAACTTATCTGCAGAAAGATCCACCAAACATATTTGTTTTGATAATAGATTGTCCCTTCGACAAAGAATGTACAGGGTAATTCATGACTGGATTAGAACTACATTGTAATAAAGATAGATATGTAAAAATATTGATATTGAGGTTGATATTTTTAGAGCAAAACCAGCACCTTCTACTCAAGTCTAATACATGTACCCTGAGTTGGATTTTTCTTGATGCATATTTTTTTAATTTTAACTTTTATATTCTTAGAGGAAACACCTTAAAGAAGATGGAAAAAGAGGTAAGCAATGCACCAAACAATATAATTATTTGGTAAGAGTTCATAAGAAATCAAGGGTGATGTTTCACTTGCCACTTACCTCTGGTGAATTCTTCTGGGGTCTCAACATCATAATTATGCGAGTAGAGTTTGTTAGGCCTCTCTTGATTTCAAAACCCAACCAACTACTGTAGATTCCATTTTCAGTTGTGAGCTAGCTTTGTCCTGACCCTGATCCATTCAATGGTTGTTTCATAGTTAGCGACCTGGGTTTGAGTCCTGTCAGGCTCAGTGTCATATATGAGTAGAGTTGTTTGTTGGTTCTCCTGTGGTTCTCCTGTGCTTCAAGGGTTTTCTTTCGATTCTCTAGTTTTCCTCCCTTCTCAAAATTCAACTTCTCAATTCCAATTGGATCTTGTTAGGCTTTCACCTAGTTTGGAGCTTAGGGTTCTGYTGTGATTGCCACTTGCTGTGATACAACAACAGCAACAGCTTAATAGTTTTAATAGAAGTTGTTTATAGTGCAAAATGATTAATTTTGAAGCTATGTTTTTCAATTCTTTGCCATTAT